CTATCTATCTATCTATCTATCTATCTATCTCGCTCTCTATAGGCCTATGTTATTTTCTGTAGCACTTTAACTAGCTCCCTAAATATAAACTAGCTCCCTATATATACTATCCAGTCTTCATATAAATCCTCCTTATTCGCTTGAACCGGGTAAATAATACGCTTACTAATGGTGACCTAATGGTCCATGTGTAATGAAATCCAGGCTCTATGACAATATTGAAGTGGCGTTATCGCTTTACACACACGAAAATTAAACGTGTAAATAATTATTGTTTGACGTGATCATGCATATTCTATCATTCAATACTTAAATCATGCCGTTGTGTTTGGCAATGTCTGGCTCAGCAATGATTTTTTGTTGAATATGTGCGTGTCGTTCTAATCGAGGACGACCGAACTGAATGCGATGGCATGTGCAAGCGATTATGAGTGGGGAACCGTGGCAACTGTTTCCTTTGATGTCACCGACGATGATGGCAATAGCTATTTAACACGCTACCGAGCGTGCAATACGTGCGCTCGATATGTTTACCTTGCTCATGTAATCGCGATCACTAAATACGCTCATGGCTCGAGTAAATACATCTTCGGATCTAATGTTAAATAAGCGCAAATAAAATCGGAAGAAAATGTTGTTGTTACAATCGCCGCCGCGTGGCATTGCATCCGACAGATGAGATAGCGATCATAGCGTCGCCGTTGCCAAAGAAGGACAAAGTATAAATACTGTGAGTTTACCGGTCTGAGCAATGTAGTGTCTTACTGCACAAGTTCGCAGGTATTTCTGGTCGGTATTCGGAATGGAGGTGCCTCAGATCAAGAATACCCGCTCGGCGATTGAACGCGTGGAGAAGTTCATATCGGACGAATTCTTTACCGACGTCAACATAAAGGGAAAGTATGTACAAAATTAGTCTTAGACTCTTACCTATTTCCAATAATGTAACCCAACAAGTGTAGGCCGTAGGGTTGTTGGGTTACATTATTGTATCTAAGTTAGTACAGGATGTACGTATAGCTCTAGGGCTATAGAAGCCTGCGGCAACTGTACGCGGTCCTAGAGCTAAGTCTGACGTAGGCTCTAGTAGTAGTACTAATATATATATATATATATATATGTGTGTGTGTGATAATACGTTGTATTTAAGTGCATGTATTTATTGGAATGAAGATATAGCCTATATGGTAACATAATATTGAGTAACAGAATAGTAACGAAAGTAATGTAGAACCTAAATCTACGTTAAAAAGTTATTTATCCTAATATATAAATTTATCTTAATTATAATAATTATCTATACTACATGGATTAAAACCATCATAAGAATGATGAAATCACAATTATAAGTAATAGAAATAATGAATAACATAAAAGCAATAATAAATTTAAGAAAAAAGAAAAAGAATTAAATCAAATGAACGAATTTTTTCTGCCATTGGGATTTGAAGTTGGCATCTTCCCATTACAAACGCCCTAAGTTCGCCCTACGGCGCCTTTATACACGCTAAAGCGCGCTACTATGCTATCATGCTATTGTAGGCGCGTTATGCACGCTACGGAGGTAAAGTTCTGCAAGAGAATAGATAGATGAGACAAGACGAGAGATAAGGTAAACTAGCGTTTTACTCAATCTCTAACACGATACAACAGTGCTCAGTGCACTACCGAGCGAAAGAGCGTTTACTACACGGCAACCGTATCACGCACTTACACCTTCTCAGCGGGTGTCTTGTACAAAGAGCCCCGAGGCGCGGCTGCTCTCCACTATTTATACGGCGCTCCCTCCCCTACGTCACCTCTCGTTTTAGCCCCCCTTTCGGCCAACCGGCCGTACTAAATAAGGTGGGGTGAGTATTACCACTGCTACATTACACTACCGAATAAGGTGAGGGTGCGTGTTTCCCCTTGGCTGGATTCCATGATCCGATTCTGGCCATGGTGTCAGCACAGTCATCTACAGGTCAGCACCTTTGCGGCCACCTGTCACAATCCGCAAGGATTCGGGGATTCATGACCGTGGTTTCCGGTTCTTGCGTTCCCTCCAGCGCTGTCGGCTCCCTTGATCTGGAGTCCGCCCGCAGCCTGTTATGACATTCCTACCGACACCGAGGCGGCAAGATTGCTTCCCCGCCTCGCCATCGCTTTCGTTGGCGTGTGGGCTTCGCCCGCTTACACTATTATGCTATTATGCTATCATATATATCTATATCTATTATACTGCGCTATTACTGCCTATCATACTATCTTCTATAATCTATGTATACTGCGGTCGCTATTATGTATTCCATCACTACCCTATATTCTTATATCTTATTATACTGCGTTCAATGCTTCAATTGGGCTCGAGATACAACGTACCTACCATCCCCACCGGTCATAGCATTTATTCTTGCCTCAGCTACTAATTATGTCTGAATTTATCCGCGTTGTTCATTTAATGAATAAGATATATATTATTATATATATTTATACTACTTATACTATCTAGCTTATATACTTATATTCACAGAAACAATACACTGTCTACTGCTAAAGAATACTCAACTGACAAGTAGAGTGTAGAATCTAATCTGCGTTAAAACTGTCTAGGCTAGAGGTGTCTTTTAACGGATATTTGAATTCAGATATGGTATTTGACTGATCTATGCTTATACTGACACAAGCGATCTAACCTACCATCATTAGATAAAGAAATCACAATTACAAATCAGTTGGAAATTAACGAGCTTACATACAGAAACTAATCAACTCATGAAGAAAATAAAATGTAAAAAATAACCTTGGACTAAGTTAATATATATATGGAGTAGTTTTAACCATATAGCAGCATCCATTACAATACATGAAATCCAAATCATCCTATTAGAAATCAAGGAATTACGTGATTAAATGAAAAATAGAATCATCTCTTTCACGATCAATCACTCATCTACCCCATCTCCACCATTTCATCATCCACCTTTCCACTCAGCTCCATCCATCCAATCCATCCATCATCCACCCACTCATCCATCTCATCCACTCCATTCCATTCCCATCCATCCATCCATCATCCACCCCATCCATCCACCGTTATCTAATCTATCTATTCCTAATCTCTTACCTAGTATATATATCATACCTATTCTATCATACTACCTTTACTCTTCTATATATCTATCTAGTCTACTCTCTATCCCCTCCACTGAATCATATCTTACTCTTATCTCGCTCTCTATCTAGGCCTCTTATGTTATTTTTCTGTAGCACCTTTACTAGCTCCTAAACTATAAACTAGCCGCCCTCCTCACTATTACTATCCAGTCTTCCATATAAATCCTCCTTATTCGGCTTGAACCCGGGTAAATAATAGCTTACTAATTGGTCTAATGCAGTCCCACTGCTCGCTCAATTGAATCCGGCTCCTATGACCAAAAAATATTGACAGTGGCGTTCTATCGGCTTTACACCACTACGAGATTAAATCGTGTAAATTACATCTATTTGTCTCTGCCCGTGATCATGCATATCTTCTCACTCATTACATTGACTTTAAAATCATGCCGTTGTCGCTTTGGCAACTGTCTGGCTCAGCCAACTTGATTTTTTGTCTCTCTGTGCGTGTTCGTCTGATCGAGGACGACCGAACTTGATGCCCGATGGCATGTGCCTAAGCCGATTATGAGTGGGGATACCGTGGCAACGTGTTTCTCATATGATCGCTCCACCGGACGTGATGACAATTAGCTATTTAACACTCGCTATCCGAGCGTGCTTGCTTAAATACCGTCGCGCTCGACTTGTTTACCTTGCTCATGTAATTCGCCCGACTCATAAATAGCTTCATGGCCTCGAGTAACATACATCTTCGGATCTAATGTTAAAGTAAGCGCAACGTAACTCCGAAGTAACAATGTTGTTCGCTTACAAATGCGTGCCGCGCGTCTGTGGTTCATTTGCATCCGACAGATGACGATAGCGCATACATACGCTCTCGCCGTTGCCAAAGAAGGGCCAATAGTAGGTACAAATCTCTGTGAGTTTACGCGTTCCTGACGAAATGTAGTCCGTTTTAGCGCCCACACGTTTCGCAGGTATTCTCTGTGTCGGTATTCGAATGGATGGTGCCTACAACATCCAAGAATTAACCCGCTCTGGTGGCGATCTGAACGCGCGTGTGGAGAATTCATATCGCACCGAATTCTTTCACCGACGTCGAACATAACAGGCGAAGTAGTTGCCCTACAAAATATTAGTCTAGACCTCTTACCTTGTTCCAATAATGTAACCCAACAAGTGTAGGCTCGTAGGGTTGTTGGACCTTATTGTGTTATCCTACAGTTTAGTTACTGATTGTACGCGTATTAGCTCCTAGGGCCTATAGACAGCCTGCCTCACTCTACCGCCCCGGTCCTACGAGCTAGTTTCTGCGGTAGGCTCCTAATGTATGTAGTTAACTTATAGCCGCCGTTTACAGTTGGCCACACTCGGCCAGCTGGCAACTCATCGCGGGCCTATACGTGACTGAGCTAACGTCTGACCTTAGCGTCTCCTTAGAACTAAGCCCTCCGCCTCCGCCGCAGCTGGCTACTTAGAATCATATACTGGCAACTTTCCTACGGGTAGTAAAGCAAAAGACAACTGTATCTTCCAAGTGAGGGGCTCGGGCACGGTTTGCACCGCGGTTGCAAACCGGCTAGTCTCGCTGCGCAACGAAACATGGCGGTTCTGCAAAAGCATCTGCACACCTGCGCGCACCCCTTCCACTTGGAATATACATTGTGCCCGCTCACAGCGCCTGGGAACTGCCGCTAGCGTGCCGCACGACATATTGGCAGTTCGAACAAGTTGATAAACAATCTTCGTCGACGAGTTTAATTAGGCACAGTACAACTATATATAATTGATAGTTTGCTGTTTAATCGTGTAGTGTTTATAGTACTTAAGACATTTATGCGCCAGAGGACCCCCGCTCCGCTCTTCATCTCCTCGTGCTGTCCCGCACGACATTGTTATTACCGCTCCACAAAAGTTCTCTCTCTTTGCTCTTTGGCTTTACTCCCTCGCGCGAATTGCCCCCAGCCTCATTGTTACTATTAGCCCCTGCGGCGGAGGCGGCATGCGGGCTCATAGTTCTAGAGCTAGAGTCGTTGAACTGAGCCACAAGTTTCCTTCCTCGCTTAACAACACTAGCCTGCTCACTAGTTTGGCCGACAGTGCCTTATGCCTGTGTTAACACTAAAGGTCGGAGCCCTGCTTTGTGCTGCGGTTTAAGTCTCGCACAAACCTAAGACCTGGTTTCTATTATTCATTAGTTTCTAACTACTATATTTATACTCTCTTAGTTTTAACGCTTGTATTACTCTTAAAGGAGTCATATTCACTTTTGTTTTAATTTTTAGTGCCTTCAGTTCTATGTTAAGTGTCGTGTGCGTGCCAGCGTGCCAGTCAATGCGCGTTCATTGGGCGGCCGCCAGTCGTTTGTTGCTAGATTGAGCCTCTCGAGACCCGGGCACTCTTTAGCCGAGCGAAATCTGTCTAGCAATAATCAGTGGATATTGTAGAGCTTATGATAGAACCAGTCCATAAAAGGCCTCCTTTTGTCTTAGTCTGATGAAAAATTCTGATGTACCCATACTATCCAATCGACTTTCGAATCCTGATGTTATGTATCATACTGAGAGTAATTCATTACAGGTTGACATGTTGGTTTTCGTGGTTCGTATGAGTCAAAACAGATTATTTTTTTGCATGGTTACACATGCTAAAGAACTTTGCTGGGAACGCCAAAAGCGCCCCTATCTCTTTCGCGTGACGTAGTGTGACGTCAGCGAGGCACTCGCGGCTTGTTTACACGTTGAGCGTGCTACCATCTGAGCCTACGATGTGGAACAACAATTTAGAGTCGGTCTTACTAGACTACCTTATCAGTTTCGTACGATTCATCGGGATACAACAGTCAATTCCTAGCACTTGGATTCTCCTCCCTTTCGAAGTGAAGAACCTGAAGTAGATATAAGCCACAATTGTGACTAGTCGAACTCATTGTGTCTGAAGATACGTTGCGTATTCAGCCGTACTGTTTGAGTGGCCACTTGCGCAACCGCTGCCTCTTACTTTACCCGGCCATTCGTCTCATATGATGATGTCTCAATGCGCAACGTCGAACCAGAAGGGAAGACTTGCATTAAGTGTTTGCTGAGTATGGTGAGTTTTAGCTGCAGTATTCATCTGGTAACTTCTGTAGGTATACGGTGGCGCATCAAAATGAAATGCTTTTGCTTCGGTACAGGCCAAATAGGGCGGCGGTTCCGTGTGGCCGACCTCAATTCATGTCATCATACCGCACGGCGGTCGTTCTGGATACAGATTACATCATCGTGTGCGTACTATCGCACTCTGGTCGGCCCGTGCTCGCTCGTCCCGACTCTTCGTAATAATCGCCCTAGGAATCGAATGAAGGCGGGAGTATAGGGAGAAGCTGTGGGAGAAGGAGGACAGGGACGAGAACTGGTGGTGGAGCAAAGGAGAGAAGGGAGAAAGCTCGGTGGTAATGTACAGGTAGCGAGAGGAGAAGAGATTCTTCATCGAGTGGTGGAGAGGGGGTGGAGAATGTCTTTGGCGTGGAGCAAGGGAGGACCTGCGGGGAGAAGGGCAGGAATGTGGTGAGATGGATAGAAGCTTGGTCGGAGAAGCGCACGCGGGAGACAGTGCTCTGTGGCGTCGGAGAATGAAGGGAAAGGGAGAAGGAGGGGGAAAGGGTGAGCTGGGTCGGATTGGACCGCTGGGCGAGAAGGAACGAAGGCTTGCGTTGCGAGAAGCGATAGAGGTGGAGGAAGGGTGGCGTGAAGGAAGACGGTGGTGGAGACTAGGCACGCGGGGCAGAAGCGGGTGAGTAAGGGGTAGTGGGGCGCACGCGCGCACGCAGGTTAGTGGAGCCTTTCCGGGTCTCCTGCTCCGCTTCGGTGATCCCTTCTTCTGCGACCGGGGATCGATTGGGAGAACCGGCTGGTGGAGTGGGAGGGGGATACATGGTGTGGACGGAGGGGGAGATATGCTGGTGCAGGAGCTTTTCTTTTTTCAACCGATTATGCCAACTGTACGGTAACTTTAGCTCCAAGAACACTTTGTAGTGCTAATGCTTAGGCGTATTCCCATACCTGTTTATCACAATGTTTATAGCCAATCCGTCGCACCAGCCTCTGGTCGTGGGGTCCTTACTGTAACTTGTACAGATTTCTCATTCTCCACTACTGACCGTTTATACATTTATAGTGGGACCTAATTATAACGCAAATTATAGCCGCATAGTGGTAAATGTTTGGTCTGTTATGTGGCATATATATATCAGTGGTCATCTTACGTAGTACTATCTTATGCACGTAATTATTTTGTATAATATTATTTCACGTGTAATCATTGCTAATTTAGTCTGGACTCTTGTATTGTAAGATAATCTATGTGTACTAATACCAGTATGAGTATATCAATTGAATATATATTGCATGCTTAGCGTTTCAACCCCTGAGGTCCAGTTGAACACGTGAGTGGAACAGATTTTATTGTCTGAGTATTAATTGGTTTTTAATCCGGAGTAAAGCTACAATGCATATATATTATATATATTATAGTATTATATATATATATATTACTATATACTAATATCATCGTTCATAATAATTAATATGACAGCTTTGGACCATAATACTTTTCAAGTTTGTATTGTAAGTTATTCTTGGTTATATATTACTAAGCTACAGTCGAGGACTCGCTTTGGTGTTCATGCAGTGAATGCAGGCTTTGTGTGCGATGCAACACTGGAAGCAAACCTAGCCTCGACGTCTACAGGGCCGTTTTCCCACTGGTGGCCGAGTTTGCTCAGAAATAAATGATTTTCAATATTCACTACGACCCAAAATCAAGACCGTGATTTCCTCAATTCAGCAGAGGGCACCAAAAAATATACGCATGCTCTTTGTTATTACTTATCACTCTTTAAACTAGCATCTATCACCTTTACGTGGTTGAATACTAGCTTCAAATAATTTGCTAAATGTAATTTGACAGTTTTAGAGATCTCCGCTCAAGAAGGCTTTAAGACTTTTGTAGTAAATAGATTTTGTATCTTTCATTTAGCCATATTACTTATTTTATTGAAACGCTCCAAGTGCCTGTGATTTCACTCGTGCAGCGTGCGCACGGGGCGACGTGGAAAAGCATTTTCCCATACAAGTCAGTCTCGCATCAGTGCTTCTGACTTCAACATTGTTATTTGTGTTGAATAAGCTGTCAGCCCAACGGCTGCACGCTAGATGGTATATTTATGTAGAATACACGTTTTTACACGTTTGTGTTGTGCGTGTGGTGTGGCCGTGTCGTGTGCGTGTGCGTGTGCGTGCTGCGTGTGTTGTAGTGTGTAACAGGCGTCGCTATCTGGAGAAAAGGGACATCACAGGGATCAGTCACCTCGCAGCCCCGGGAAGAATCACTTACGATGAAGCTCTAGCGTCGACTGATTGGGCGCCGGCTGTGATAGGAGACTCGTTCGGACCAACGTATGTGCATAATGATGTTTGCAATGTCAGATTTCTCTTCAACCCTGTGTTGTTTTGACGCATATAAATACACACTTGCATGTATATATTGAAAAATAATGTACGTAGAATAGAATAAGGGGGTAAATGTTAATCAGCAAGTTCACAAATCTTCATCAGACTATATAAATTTATTTCACATCCTTATTCAATTTTCACTACACTCTATCTATCGTATCTATCTAGCTACATATTAATATATTATATATATATATACTTACTCTTATATATGATACTATATAGACTGATAGATAGATAGATAGATAGATAGATAGATAGTATTATAATGGGCAAAACAAATAAGTCTAAACTGACGATTTTGTTTGCGGCTATAATTGTGTGTATTTGTTGACTCCTGGAGATCTAGGCAAAATTTCCCTCGTTGTCGACATTAATACATGCAGTAATCGACGACTGTCATACCCATACTGGTACGTATACGCAACTCAGCTTGGAGCACTGCACTGGTTCAGCCTGACCATGCCTCTACCCGCTGCGTAATGGTGGGAAATGAGATACCGTCTGGATGGAACACCAGCTCGGAGGGCATGGTGTCGGAGGAAGGAGTGCCCATGCAGTGTAAGCATGCTTCCCCGACTCAAGACGAACTCAGACTTATGAAACTGTTGCCAGTAGTGACAACTCTGATCGATTCAATTGGTTCATTACTTCTAGAAATCAGGCTCCATCATATGGTATTTTCAAGGCCAATATCGTACTGGCTTTGACCAATGGTATATTATTATATTATAAATATATATTATAAAAATATATATTACACACACACACACACACACACACACACACACGCACACACACACACACACACACACTGTGTTTGTGTGTGTGCGCGTGTGCGTGTGCGTGTGCATGTGCGTGTGCGTGTGTGTATTTATATATATATAATATATACATGGTATTTATGCATTGAATATGCAGGTCTAAATTATAAATTCTTGCGTATAACCAGTAGGAATAGGCATCTAGGTAGAAGGTGCTTAACTTACATGGGAATATGGAGCAGTTTTTTTCTGAATGCAGGATTGTTCCAATTTCATATTTGCAACCATATAATTTTTCGTGAATAGGTCTGAAATTTGCAATTTTATTTAATGGGGAACTGGGAAATGCCATATTTTTTACCTGGGAAACTTGGACCTTTCACGATTCCCCAATCATTCAGTAATGCAGGAAAGTTGCACTATTTTTCAGGGTCTGAACGGTAAACCAGGTAACATAAGGACTGATTATATTCTGACTCAGAACCTGACAACAGGATTACCCAGGTGTGTAATAGTCAATTTGTTCGTATACAGTGGTCGTCACTATATCAGAGACAAGTCGGTTTTCCCTTTTCTTCATTTTGTTTTTCTTCACTCCCGATCATATATATACGTTTATGTTAGATACGTAATTCCACGCATACACCAATACTATGTTCTGGTACGAGTATACACACGTCTGTGATAATATGCATGACTGCTATTGTCGGTTGGACGTCCAGATTGTATGTTATGATGAAGATTGTAAAATCATGCCTCGCGTGTCGTTTGCTGCAGCCGCGTTATTTACATCGAGATGGCGTGCAATAACCTGTTTGGTGCCGGCGACGGTAATGACATTGCGCCGCCTGACCCGAATCGCTACTACACTCTCGACATGGCCGAGATATCTGTGTTCAATCGACCGGCGTATGACCTCGTGATGGACTTTGATGTGCTTCACGACATCATGAAAGTAAGGAACGTTCAAAAAAAATCTCATTATATTCAATATAATCTTTAAAAAATTTAATTAAAAATTTAATTAAATTAAAAAATTTAATACAAATAATAATTTAAATTAATATATTCTGTGTCGTTTGTGTATGTTGGTTGTTTTTACATAGGTCTTCAGGTATCCTTGTCCTGCTGCTAAATGTTATTTTGATTGGTATTGGTATTTTATTGTAGAGTAAAAGTTTCATACAAGATACAATATAATTATAGACAGAAAGTTGAACAGAAGCTCATAACCATAATCCTAATTTTTACCCCTCACCATAACTTCATCTATAGGCCTAACCCTACCACTAATATATATAAATATGTAATAGTAATATATATATATATATATATATATATATATATATATAGATAGATAGATAGATAGATATTTATAATGGGCAAAACAAATAAGTCTAACTGAGATTTTGTTTGGGAATAATTGTGTGTATTGTTGATCCGTTGTGAGATCTAGCCAAATATTTCCCTCGTTGATCGACATTAAATACAGAGTAACGACGACTGTATACCATACTGTACTTTACCACTAGCTGGAGCACGCACTGGTTCAAGCTGACCATCTCTTACCCCGCGGAATGGGTGGGAAATGAGATACGTCTGCGATGGAACACCAGCTCGGAGGGCATGGTGTGGGAGGAAGGAGTGCCCATGCAGGTAAGCATGTTCCCGATCAGAGAACTCAGGACTATGAAACTGTTGAGTAGTGACAATTGATCGATCAATGGTTATACTTAGAAATCAGGCTTCCAATATATGTATTTCAAGGCCAATATATACTGCTTTAGACAATGGTATACTATATATATATATATAAATATTAATATATAAAAATATATAGACACACACACACACACACACACACACACACACACACACACACACACACACACACACACTGTTGTTGTGTGTGTG